CGCGCGAGAGACGTCGGCGAATTAAGGCTTATCACGCGTGCGCTCGCGGCATAATAACCGCGCCTTTGGTAATACGATTTCTCTGTCAATCGGTCACGATTGAGGCGATCGCTCCGTCCGCTCGGGTCGCGACTCGCGGATCTTTACGTAACGCCGTCGGGCTGAGAGAGCGCGCGTGGAATCGCGAGAGCGCGCGAGCGGGACGGGCCGGGAAAACTGAATCATCGATTACACTTGCGAGGCTTTGCCCGCACCGGTTGGGCGATGGCTTCCTCGACCAACCTTGAATAAGTAATCTGCTTCTCGGGGTAATGCGCCCGCGGTCGCCCTGGAAAAAAAAATCGTCTCGAGTCCCCGTGTGTACCGCGGATACACCATCGGGGAGAGCTATCGGTCTTTCGCGGTGAAAGTACATAGGTACTCGTATCGCGGTTGCGCGCCGATAAAGTGTACCTCGCCATCGCCGCGTGAACCTTCATTCACGCGGTCGTCGACAAGCTTGAAGTCAATTTCATGTCATTTCGGAAGCACGTAGGGAGTGTGCCAATAGTTGCCCAATTTTACAATTTATTCAAAATATCCGTCTTATTTTTCTTTAAAAATTATAAGTTTCATATAATATGTTATACGAATTGAATCTAATCTACCTTTTTGCTTAATTCTACGTAAATTTTAATTTGGTAACTCAAGAGTTACTTACAAACATCTTTAATGCACACACACACGCACAAAAATAGTCTATTAGAGTAAAAATATACAACATTTAATAAAAATCAAAAGCTTGTATGTTTAATAATCTTTCAGTTAACTCTAACTTCAAGCTTGTTACTAATAAAGATGCAGTATAATAACGAGAGAAACATAACATATTATATGTAGACTCCTGAATCATATTACTATTCAATTAATAAAACTGAAACGGTAAATTTGTTGTTTGCAAAAAAAAATCAGAATTTAAATTTGTAGTCAATCACGTATTTCATCAAAGCTGTATAATGAAGATAAATGAATTACTGAGACATTATGACTTGTTATTTAGCCTCTAAAGGATTACAGCAGACGAATGCATAAAAGAATACGGGAATTTACGGTCAAGCACCCACATCATCGCTGTAATGAAAAGAATCATTCTCCGTTCCTTGAATTTTCGTTATGTAACCGGTCGATGTAACAGACGTAGAATACGTAGGTATATAACGCTAATTATCTTTTTAACAGACCGAGTCGAACTGATAAATAAACAGGAGATCGAGATGTGTCGCGCCGAAGGAAGAATATCGATCAACCCTAAAAAAAAAGCGGAGGCAATTCGTCACCGGAGAAACCGGGATTTCCTTCCGCATATTGCTCGCGGTAGATCCGCGCGAGAGATAAGAACTCTTGGACTCTTGCTGGAAATGAAAACATCACTCACGCGACAAGTACAAAATTTTTCGCGCGTGAAAAATATGTACATTTTCGCGAGCTCTTCACAACTGGTTTGTCTCCTTACATAATCGCATCATCGCGCGGCTCTCTATATCTCATCGTTTTTAACTATTATGCAACGGCCGACTGATACGGTACAATTTCAATTTCTCACTTATATACTACTCCGGCGATGCTGGCTAAACGCGCGCGGAAGTGATGACGATTTGATGCGCGGCCAGTTCGCGCTTTTCAAGCTCGCGATATACGGGGCATCCCCGCTTCCCCGAATGCACGGGTCAAATGTGGATGATAATTCATTTAATAACAAACAGAGGCGAGCTCTTAGCTTTCCTAGAAGTCAATTTTTCCTACGAATCAATTTTTCGGAAGCACGAATTATACTATTTCACGCAAATTCTAATATTGTTCAATTCAATTTTGCATAACGAAACTTTACATAGCTGACATGTTGATTCTTAATTAGAATCAACTTAAAATAAATCATGAAATTCTCTTGTCCGTTTACTTTTACTAAATCAAGATTTTGTATAAAGCTTACAATTGTTTTGAAAATCATCTCGAAAGTATTAAATTTTCAATTCGAAACAGCAATTGTGGTTCTATTGACATGTTGACTGGTGAATACCATTAACTTATAATTGGAGATCTGAATGATTTTTAGCTCAATATAACAGTTTTGCTATATAAAAATTAGACTAGATACAAATCTAAAAACAATTATGTTGAACTAAAATAACTATATGTATACTCAAGCATGATAATAAGCTGCAAAAAATTTTGATATTCTAGCAACCAGTATGATCGTCTAATATAAATATTTAAATACAACATAATTATTTTCAGATCTGTATCTATATAGTTGAGTGTTTAAATACTCTAACAAAATCATTCTTTCCATATATGAATACTACAACTTATATTGTAGCTGATTTGATTTTTTCGAACGAAGGAAAGGAAATAAAATTTTTTAACTTAAGTTTCAAATGAAAAAGAAATCCCAAAAAATTAAGTGGCATATAGATATTAAAATGACATGTTAATAAAATGACAATCGGGAATAAAATTACTTAATACAATAGCCACTGTACAGTGGCACGGTCAACGTGTCAAGATTCATTCATTTCACGGAAGAAATCCCGCGCAGGAAGCGCGTGTGTGTGCACGTTTGTTTGGGAAAGACGCGGTCGGACCGCGGCTCGGAGAGTGGTGTGCACGCGTAACCACGCGCTCGTGCCATGCGGCCTGCATGTGTATTACGGACGGTGCGTGCGTGTGTGTGTGTGTGTGTAAGCGCGCGAATTCTAGGCTGTATGTACGTACACGCGGCGCGGGGCGGCCGGCGATAAGAGCCGCGGCGCGTTATATCATCGTCTGCTGTATGCGGCGTGATATTGTGATACGTCGCCTCCGGTTCCTTCAGCCATTGAACCGTTTGCTCGCTCGCCCGCTCGCTCGCTCGCTCGCTCGCCCGCCTCAATTGCGCGGACTACCAACAAATTGACGGGAACGGGGCGACGACGAGCTGTCGCGGAGAGCGCGAGGATGTCGCTCGAATTCGAGGATGACGCGATGATCGTCAAATTTTCTCGCGCGATCGTATTCATCGGCCCTCGCGTCGAATACATACATGCGTGCGATAACGTGATCGTGACAGAAGCTCTCTTAATCCCGCGCTTTCTCGCATGAGCATCGAGACATTTTAAATGAATTTATCCCACCCGGAAATATCGGTCGTTGAATGCCACGCAAAGATTGCCGAGGATTGCGAGAAGTTGCAGCGCGCGAAGGAAATTCGCGAGCAACACACACGCGGAGGTTCGAATAAGGAGAAGTGTATATAAAATGCCGGTTCGAAGGGGAGAGATTAGAATGTCCCCTTTCGAACGAGCGTGCAATGCCTCGTAGGAATTTCTATTGTCCGCGCGTATAGCGGAGGCCTGGTGGTGCGCGAACGATTAAATTGGAGCTAAACGCGGCGCGCGCTCGCGGGATTCCTCCCGGCGCGGCTGTCTCGCACGCGACAGGGCCCGCAATCGATGCATTTACATGTCCTACTTACGTTATTTATCGTCGGCCGTCGAGTGTCATAATCGCCGCCGGTCGCACCGCGTTCGAATCGCCGCAGCCGCCGCCGTCGTCGCGCGGCTATAGGGAACCCTCCGCGCCGCCGCGTACCCAAAAATTGCGACGATTCGCGCACGCGGCGAACTTCACGCGGACTTCACTCGAATCGCGCGAGCGCGAACGACGGGGAAAGGAGAAAAGGACGGGAAAATTCGGAGATACTTTCGCGTCGATGGACGCGATAATTCGCGACGCGCGGATTTGCCGCGGAATTGCGAATGTTTAAGTCCACTCACCTCTCCGTCGTCGTCGTCGTCGTCGTCGTCGTCGTCGTTCGGCGTTTCGATGCACGCGCGATTCGTCGCAGATCTCCCGCGCTGCGTGAATCCGCGCGTGACACCGCGCGGCGACGGATCTCTCTCTTGCGTCGTAACGGGAGGAACCGTAAACACGTAAACACGCACGCACGCACGCACGGAACTGTAGGCACGCACGGCGAACCCGAAACCCACGCTAGTCTTTCGAACGCGCGCGCGGACCCGACGAGCGCGACAGCGGAATCGTCGGAGCGCCGTCCCGCAGATTGCCGCTTACCCGGCGGAGCGCGCGTTCTCCGCGAGCTCCCCTCGAGAGAGAGAGACCGTGTCGCTCGAGATGGCGCCACCGTCCGCAACCGCGCAACTCAGGTGGGGCCGTGCGGGAGCACAACCACTGCAACCAGGCCTTTTGTAACTTTATTTTTAATAATAGAAGAAAGACTTTAGGACGTCGCGGGAATGATGTGTATAGTCATTTGAGCAAATCTATGAATCTCGGATTTAATATATTATGGACACTCACGTACATTTATGCATGTATCGTGTACAGCCGAATGCAAATTTTTAAGAATGTCATAAATACTTGAAGATAAATAGAAGCAATATAATTGAAGAATAAAAATAAAAATAAGAATTCTATCCATACCTGATATAGATGGAGCAGAATAGCGAAAACTAAACTTCCTTTTATTCAATTTTTAATTTAAAATGACTTCAAGTTGGAGATATACGCTCTCATTCTTGTACTGTTTTTATTCATAAGATTTTTTCTCTATCTTTTAAATTCCTATTTATTCTCTGTTCCTTCAATTTTTTCTGTGTACAAAATCCAAAATTTAACTCAAAATCTTTCTTATTCCTCAACTTTCCCTGGAACAATTGAAAGCGTTTTTGCGTATATGTGTAGTTTTATTCAATGCATGAGAGAATTCAAATTTAGTTTCAAATCCGTTTATATATATATATATATATAGATATATATATATATATATATATATATATATATATATATATAAACGCTTTCAATTGTTCCGGGGAAAGTTGAGGACAGCGTTAACTTTCTTTTTATATACACTTTCGCATATATATTTTTAATTACCAATTTCTATGAACGAAATGATCATTGCACATTACGCATTTATGGGCAAGTTCGAACGTATTGAAAATTTATAAATTAAACGAAGTATGTGAATGCTAATTAATGCCTTTATATATTTACTTAACATTTGTACCTTCTTAATCCAATTAACAGTGTCTATATACAATGAATCGATGAGAAGTATTTTTCACGCCTGCAACACCGGCCTTTCATGCTTGCCTTCTAACGAATCATTAACGAATGCATAACCAGTGCCACCCTGCAAAATAAATAAACACGAATATTACACCCTGTACTAATTATTCACATTGTCCACGCTGTTATCTGTGCTGCTTACCCTTTGCAGAGGAATGATATCGGATGGTGTCAATTTGGAATTATCCAGTGGGTTGATCCAGTCCTTCTTTATCAATTTTTCTACACACTCCATCGTGACCACGTCGCCGCTGTACGTATAAAAATAATGAAACAACCCGACTAATTGATACTCGCGACTTACGCGAGGCAGATTATTCAGTCGCTCTTACGTTGTTCTAATCACGGCGCAGGGGACGCTGTTGCCCAGCACGTCGTGCGTAATGGGACACATGTATCGCGCCTGTTTGACAATAAGTGACCTCTTGTCGTCCGGATCCTGGACCACTGTGAATTTTATCGGAAGCAGATCCTTCAATTTCAACGGCTTCCCACTGACCGGACAGTAAATGGTCTTATCAGGTTTCTGTAGGGAAACGTCCTTCGCTCCCGGTGTCTTCGAGGGTATCCAAAAGCTCGGCAGCACCTTGTCCTTGCCGTTCTTCATATTGGAGACCGACTGTCCGTCCGCCGTACTGGGGCCGCTCGACACGATGGTTTTCTCACCCTTCAGAAAATTCTGCAGCTTCTTCAGCTCTTCGTTGGCTGTCTGCTCTTGCTGCTGCTCCTACAACGAGTACAAACGATGTAAATATATCGACTGCTCGAGAGGCTCCCGACTACTTTTGGCAAATTCAGTAAAGTTCATCCATAACCTAACCTCTTCCTTCTGCTTCTGCTTCTCGTATTCCTTCAGCTTCCTCGCGTACTCCCTCTTCTTAGCCAGGATATACTCCAGTATCGCCTCTTTGTCGAACAAATAACCGTCTTTCCTGCAACGTCGAATCGTCGGATCGTGAGCAACGGATTGCGGACATGCGGACACGCGTCGCGGTCGCGCGCAAGGGCGTAAAATACTTACGTTATCACGGGATTCCTGCAGGGCTGCAGAGTCAGGCAACAGCAGTCGAAATCCTTGACGGAGTCCTTGCCCACTCGTTGAGTGTTGGTGCCATAACCTGACGCCGCGGCGTCCTTCTTCTTCTCGTGGTACGTGTACACCGCGCCGGCGGTGCAATTCCTCGCGTGCCGTGTCATCGTGATTGAGAATTCGCAAGACGGTTCTCTCTGGAAGAGATATTACTCGTTTCCAATCTTCGCGTCGCGCGTCACTACGGTATCAAAGCAACGGCAACATACGCCGCATACGCGTTTTCGTTTAACAACAGAAGCCTCGAACCGGACGAACCAACATGGCGTCGATCATGACGTCACGCTGGCTGCGCGTTGTCCATTTTGACGCACCGGATTGGCCAGCGCGAAAGCGCTCAACCAATCAACCACGCACGCGGCGTCCGCGCTTCGGTGCGCCGGATTGGCTGATGCGAATGCCAATCGTTGAATTTCCCCCTCGTTTTGCTACTAATTTTGAAATAGGTTAGGACGGTTAGGTGACTCTTTAATTTAATGTAACGTCGTTCTGCTTTTGGAAATCTGCAAGTAATGTTTCTTCCTACAAATCCGATGGAATGCGATGGACAAGCGTCCTTAGATTGCATCATTTCTATCGCATACACGGTTATGCTATATTTCTTGACTTGATATTCTCATTTTTAAACAGATTAAGAAATATTTCGACATAGGACGATATACTGCATTACATTAAACAATTACGAAAAATTATTACGAATAAGTATTTTTTAATCTGTTAAAAAATGACGTTAAAAAAGTAATTGTTTAATATAATGTAGTGTCGCCCTGATTTTATTAAACTTGCAATTCCTATAAATTTCCTTTAAATTCTGTAGAATGCGATGGAAAATAATAAACAATTAAGCCTGTTTAATGAGATAAAAACCGGTAGACAAGCTTTTCAATTTGCATCATATCAATTATAGACACGGTTATGTCATTTCTCGTTTTGCCACCGTCATTTTCAAGTTAGGAATTAAATTGTTTAACACGTAGCATCGTCCTTTCAAAAAATTGCAAGTAACGCTTCTTTCAAATGTGCTAAAATTCTGTGGAATGCGAGAAATGATGGACACGTGTCTTCGACTTGCATCATATCTATCGTAGACACGATTATGCTATCTCTCGTTTTGTCATTATTATTTTCAGATAAAATAGAAAACTGTTTAACTGTCTAGCATTGCGTTACTTCTAGGAATTTGCAAATAACATATATATGTTTCCTTAAACATTTAGAGTTCTATATAGAAAACGACTGTAGAAGCATCTTTAATTTGTATTATATATCTTTTTTCAGGCACGATCAATTACACGAGAAATCAGATAGAATAAGAAGATAGAATCAATTTGATAAGAAAAACATACGGTATTCCTTTAGCACGCTCTTATAATTTTTACAATCTAAAATTCTTTATTAAGGAATGTCACGGTTCTCTGTACAAATGAAAAATATATATGCTTTTATTTACAAAGTCCGAGTCAGTGCAGGACACAGTAAGGTGATGATTCCCTCACCTTATTATATAGATAAAAAAAAACGGACGCGGCACACGAGACACGATTAAAAAAAAAAAACCTCGTAGTCACGGGATCGTTCAATATTCAACGGCAGAAAGAACTGGAAACGACTCGAACGAGAATCCGTCGCTCATCACTCATGAACAATTCATTTCTTTTTCCGGTCGCCGTCCTCCACGCTCGCGGACGACGCATCGTCCCGCTTATTCTTCTTGCGTTTTTTGTGCTTCGAGCTCTTCTTCCTCTTCTTTGCCTTCTTGCGCTTCTTCTCCTCCTCGCTGGACGACGACGACGACGACGACGTCGACGACGAGGAGGAGGAGGATTCGGAGTCGGACTCGCTGTCGCTGCTCTCCGAGCTCCCGCGCTTTCTCTTGCGCTTCTTCCTTGCCTTCTTCTCCCGGCGCTTCTTCTTCGCGTCCCGCAGCTTCCACCGCAGCTCGCGCTCGCGCAGCTCCGTCAACGGGGTGACGTAATTCTCGTCGCTGTCCGAGCTCGTGCTGCTCACGTCCAGCACGATCTCCTTGTTGGGGTCGATCTTGATGAAGTTGCGGCACTGATAGGTTAAGTGTCCGGCGTAGCCGCACTTCTTGCACGCCGGTCGCATCTGCTCCTTGCTCTGGGGTATCAGCCGCGACAGGACGCCGGGATCCATGATTTCGGCGAGAGAACGAGCACACGCACGATGAACAACGCAAACGATCTCGCGGCGAGTCTCCGATCGCGCGACTAAATCAAGCCTGAGCCGCCTGAGGAAGCGACGTCGCCAACTGCATCGATCGAAGCTGGCGCAACTCTGCGGAGTAAACGAAACTCATTAGTCGGAGTACTCCGAGTAATAATAAACATTCAGAAACAAAATCTCGAGAACTTATTACGAGTAATGATATTAGCGACCCGATTATCGTGGTAATTAACCTCGTGGAAATTTACCTCCACCCGACGACGTTTACGCGATAAATTCTCAAAGAGACCGTTTCGACGAAACGGGAAAATGGAATCGACGAACGAAAGCGAGAGCGTTCTCTCACGTTTTAACACGTGGAGACGCTTACGCGCCTAAAATCATCTCAAATCAGCCTTGACACACGCCGAGAGCGCGGGATGGTTGCCGACGCTGAAAAACGTGGTCGATCGCATGACACCCATACGTGCACGCGACGCGCTCATGCACACACGTACACACGGAGTAGCGCGCGCTCCCACCCCTCCGGCTATCGTCGATGAGCGAGGAGCTTTCTCGACGGTTCTAGCGGGTTCTAGATCCTCCGAAAAATGTCGCCGCTTCCGACGCACGACGCGAGTCAACGCGAGCGCGGCGAGCCGGGCCGAGCGGACGCGTTTCGCGCGGGCTAATCGCCCGCGCCTCGACTCGTCGATTTTCCCGACGATTTTTCCCGGGGCGACGCGAGCCGCCGCGGCTCGATTCCGCGCGCGAGACGCTCGCTTGAGTCGGCGTCTATCCGGTCGGATAGAAGGTTCCAGAAGTCGGGCCGCGGCGCGGCCGCTCGATAGAAAACCGACGCCGCGCGCCGCGCTGTGACACTCGTTGGTGAGCTCCCGTGGCGGAAGGATCGTCGCTGCTCGTCGGTGATCTCTCGTTCTTCGCGCGCCGTCGTTCGTACGTGTTCCGATTTTCGGAGTGCGAGGCTCGTGCACTTGCGTTTTTTTTTCGCGTTTCATTCGGATTTAGTATTTGTTAATATTGTGAAATAATGCCTGAGGACGTGAGCATGGCGGACGCCGGCGAGGTGGAGACCTTCGCCTTCCAGGCCGAGATCGCCCAGTTGATGAGCCTGATCATCAACACCTTCTACTCGAACAAGGAGATCTTCATCCGAGAACTGATCTCCAACTCGTCCGACGTGAGTGGCTTGCTTTGTTGTTAATAAAAATATATTTGGCGACACCGTTTCCCGACGTTCGCGGCGTTGCCGTTGATGTAGTCCACTTCCGTTTCCGTTGTCGACCTCGTGTTCTCACACGCCTCTCGATTTTGTATATTTAAATATTTCTTAATATGTTTTATACATTTTATCGGATTTTAATAATTTTTTCATGTCATTTTTATGTGATACGTATAACTTTTTTGAATTTTTTTTTATTACGTTTGGAAGTTGGGATATTGTGAAAAAAGGAAAATTAGAAACAGAACGTTAGAAATAATCGTGTAACTTCGGAAAAGTGATAAAAACATTCTTGTTAATAGCGCGATATTAAATCCTTTGTGAATTTTTTGTTTAGGCGTTGGACAAAATTCGATATGAATCTCTCACGGATCCATCCAAGCTGGATACCTGCAAGGAATTATTTATTAAGATTGTTCCAAACAAGAACGACCGCACCCTGACGATTCTCGATTCGTAAGTATCTTTTATAAAAATAAATATATGCGACATATATATTAATATTCACAACGCTTGTCTTTAAATTGAATTTTCTGTGTCTTTACAGTGGCATTGGTATGACCAAAGCCGACCTTGTAAATAACCTGGGTACCATTGCCAAGTCGGGTACGAAGGCGTTCATGGAAGCTTTGCAGGCGGGCGCTGACATCTCCATGATTGGACAGTTTGGTGTGGGTTTCTACTCGGCGTACCTCGTGGCCGACAAAGTCACCGTGATCTCGAAGCACAATGACGACGAGCAGTACCTGTGGGAGTCCTCCGCCGGCGGTTCGTTCACGGTTCGTCCCGACAATGGTGAACCAATTGGACGCGGCACCAAGATCGTCCTGCACATCAAGGAGGATCAGACCGAGTATCTGGAGGAGTCCAAGATCAAAGAGATCGTGAAGAAGCACTCTCAGTTCATTGGCTATCCCATCAAGCTCGTCGTCGAGAAGGAGCGCGACAAGGAACTGAGCGAGGACGAGGAGGAGGAGCCCGCGAAGGAGGGTGCATCCGAGGATGAGAAACCCAAGATCGAGGACGTTGGCGAGGATGAGGAAGAAGATAAGCCCAAGGACGAGAAGAAAAAGAAGAAGAAGACCATCAAGGAGAAGTACACCGAAGACGAGGAGTTGAACAAGACGAAACCGATTTGGACGAGAAATCCAGACGATATCACGCAGGAGGAGTACGGCGAGTTCTACAAGAGCTTGACCAACGATTGGGAAGATCATTTGGCTGTGAAACACTTCTCCGTGGAGGGACAGCTGGAATTCCGAGCGCTGCTGTTCATTCCGCGTCGCGCGCCCTTCGACCTCTTTGAGAATAAGAAGAGGAAGAACAATATTAAGTTGTACGTACGTCGCGTCTTCATCATGGACAACTGCGAGGATCTGATCCCCGAATATCTGAACTTCATCAAGGGTGTCGTGGACAGCGAGGATCTGCCGCTTAACATCTCTCGCGAGATGTTGCAGCAGAATAAAATTCTAAAGGTCATCAGGAAGAATCTCGTCAAGAAGTGCTTGGAGCTCTTCGAGGAATTGTCGGAGGACAAGGAGAATTACAAGAAGTGCTACGAGCAATTCAGTAAGAATCTGAAATTGGGCATCCACGAGGACAGCCAGAACAGGAAGAAGCTGTCGGAGCTGCTGCGCTACCACACATCCGCGTCCGGCGACGAGATGTGCTCGCTGAAAGATTACGTTGGTAGAATGAAGGAGAGCCAGAAGCACGTCTACTACATCACCGGCGAGAGCAGGGAGCAGGTGGCCAACAGTTCCTTCGTGGAGCGTGTGAAGAAGCGCGGCTTCGAGGTCGTGTACATGACCGAGCCCATCGACGAGTACGTCGTCCAGCAGCTCAAGGAATTCGACGGAAAGCAACTGGTGTCCGTCACAAAGGAGGGTCTCGAGTTGCCGGAAGATGAGGACGAGAAGAAGAAGCGCGAGGAGGACAAGGCCAAGTTCGAGAACCTCTGCAAGGTCATGAAGGACATCCTGGACAAGAAGGTGGAGAAGGTCGTAGTGTCCAACAGACTGGTCGACTCTCCGTGCTGTATCGTCACGTCGCAGTACGGCTGGACGGCGAACATGGAGAGGATCATGAAGGCGCAGGCGCTCCGCGACACGTCCACCATGGGCTACATGGCGGCGAAGAAGCACCTCGAGATCAATCCCGATCATCCCATCATGGAGAACCTGAGGCAGAAGGCCGAGGCGGACAAGCACGATAAGTCCGTCAAGGATCTAGTCATGCTGCTCTTCGAGACTGCTCTGCTGTCGTCCGGCTTCGCGCTCGAGGACCCGCAGGTGCACGCTTCTAGAATATATCGAATGATCAAGCTCGGCCTGGGCTTCGACGACGAGGAGACGTCGAACGCCGAGGACGAGAAGATGGACATGGAAGTGCCGACGTTGGAGGGTGACTCCGAGGAGGCGTCGAGAATGGAGGAAGTGGATTAAAGTTCTAATTGAACCATTCACGATAAGAATCTAATAGGTCGCGAATCCAAAGACTTTCTTAGATCCGTGAAAAACGAAAGACTACTTTTTTTTTTAATTTTATTGTTCTAGCGCTCTTATCTGTTTTCTTCATTTCTCAGTGCCGAGAGAATTGGATGTTTATGTTCAACTGGAAATGTGCTAATCTGTATCTCAACTTTACAGAATAACCATATCTTTAGCGAACGTGTCTACACGCAATTCTATCGACAAGCAAAGATATCTCGCCATTTAATTACGTCGAAATGTTCATTCATTTGTATTTTACGTGTCGCGCTTCGCCCATCTTGCATTAACATTTTTTTGTACCTTTGCGTGTTTAGATTCACTTACATCATTCCATCATCTTATCTTAAATTAATGTAGAATAATGATGTAAACACTGTGCGCAATAAAATAAAACGAATCGTATTTAAGAAATTGTATTTTCATCCAGACGTTCCTATTAATTTTTAGAATCTCAAGAAATTGTTCTGTAATGACCTTAGAAAAAATACTTTAAATTTAATGTCTTATAAAAGTAATTAAATAGTTTAACATTCTTGATTAATTTATATTTTTATGGAACTACTTGAACTTTATATTGATGAGATAAAAAATTGTGGATATCTGTCGTCTGGAACATTAATCATTATTGGGTCTTCAATACTTAAGATATTATTTAAACATCTGAGATATTCATGAAATAAATGTATTAAATTTTAATACACAAGTTTCTTAAATTTAGTGATAAATTTATAGTCAATATTTTCTCATCGAGAAAACAGCTAGCTCACTGATTCGAAGCTATTTTCAATAATTAAGTTCAAGATAGAAATTAGTGATATTATGTAAGATATTCTTGAAGTAAACATTAAATTTTAATACATAAACTGAATAAATTCGGCGATAAATTTGGTCGATATTTTCTCGCAATCAGTGAAAACATTGGTCTTGCTAACTCAAAGCTATCTTCATTAATTAAACTTAAGATAGAAATTAACGACATGTATATAGTATATAATTATATCGTATTTAGATATACGTTAATATATCCAAATCCTGATAAACAATATATTTGCTGTACATCTCGTGGCAATAATCCTGAATAATCCCACATAATCTAACTATGAAACATCTTGAAATGGGTTCAATGAGTGTGCTCTTTTTTGAGGATGTCTATCTTGCATCGTCTGCACTCGGAGTGCACACGCAAGCATTGACCGGGGAGATAGCGGAGAGGAGAGGATCATCGTGGCCAGGTGCAAAGGTGCTTAAAAACGAACGGACCTTCCCGGCCGCGGCACGGTTTCTCGCGCAGGCCGACCGCTCTCGTGCGCGCCAGCTCGAAGGCGGAGCTATAGAGTGCGACACCGTGTCGCGCGGCGTGTTGTCGCGTGTTGCCACATCACCACCGAGCCCAAGCGAATTTCGGAGCGTGTCCCCCCGCGGTGTGTAGATCGCGCTCGCGCCGATCGCCCGCCAGCCAGCCACCTCGCAGCAGCCTGAGCGATTACACCACACGAGTATACGTGGAGAGGAAAAACGTGAGAGAGCCGTGGGCCGCGCCGCCTGTCTCTGCCCCGCGTTCGTCCCAGCCAACATGACAACTCGTCACTTTTGAGTTCGCATCCGCGTTTCTCGCAAGAGAGAAAGAGAGAGCGTGACTCTCCTCTCCTCTCCTTTTTTTTTCTCCCCACGCGACGCGCCACGAGGAGCGACGAAAGTCGCGGAGTCACGAGCGGCAGCTGCTACCGTACCCTCGACCCGAGAGCGCACGTGCGGATCGTCTGGAGAGCCGAGCGCACCCGACCGTCGCACCGATCGCACCGATTTTAACCCCGTCCGAGGGCCATCGCGGCGGCATCATGAGCGCACCCCAGGCACCAGTGAAACTGCGGAACGGGGTGGTGAAGCAGGTGAGGAATCATGAGGAATCGCCGGATCGACGCGCCATCGGCCGCTCTCCTTCTCGCGTGCGCGACGATAACACTCGCGGCTACTTCGCACCGCGTTACACAATGTTGTTGTCCCCCTGCCCGCTCGTCCAGTTGGCAGGAACCACGCCGTGGAACATATGGTTGCAATCTGGAGGAATCGTTGCCGCAGCGGCCTGCCACGTGTGCCCTCCTCTAGCGTTTAGATATTCGCCACGTTAATGATGATGTTTTCATTGTCCTCTTGCTTTTTTTTAATTTATTCCCTCAGTGAGCGGCGAGAGCTCGCTGTACGACTCGGTAGAGTTCTATGAAAGATATTAGCGATTGCGTAATTGGTATTCTAATACGAGATATGATACGGTGCTGGATATTTTGGGATACTAAGAGCCTCCTCATGCAGCATAATTTTAATTCCAAAGGTGACATCGGGAGACACCGTTGTCATCCGTGGACAACCCATGGGCGGTCCTCCACCTGAGGTAACAATCACTCTGTGCAACATTACTGCTCCAAAATTGGAACGCTGGAAAGGAAATGACAGGTATGTAAAAGCGTACATTCACGAGCTATATTGTATTTTTTTTGTTTCATTATTTTCTAATTTTTGAACTAAGAAGAGATTTATATGTATAATAATTTAATTGCGACATCACAAGTAATAACTTACGTGCTCGTAGCACGGACGAGACCAAAGATGAGCCGTATGCTTGGGAAGCTAGGGAGTTCCTACGCCGAAAGCTGATCGGTCAAGATGTCACCTTCGCCACCGAGAAGTCGGTCAACACAGCCAGAACGTACGGAACAGTCTGGTTAGGAAAAGGTATTTATCGTTTAAAAAGATATTTATCGCGACAGCGTGTTAAAAATTAGATTCTTACATCTACTTACTTATTATTGCGCACGCAGACAGGAATGGCGAGAACGTGATTGAAACCTTGGTGTCCGAGGGTCTGGTGACCGTTAAGAAGGACAACCGCAATCCTACGGCCGAGCAGCAACGACTGATCGAACTGGAGAATATCGCGAAGGTCGCGAAGAAGGGAAAATGGTCGGATTCGCCGACCCCCGAGCACATACGGGACATCAAATGGACGGTCGACGATCCCCGGAAGCTGGTCGAGAAATTCGGCAAGAAGCCGATCAAGGCGGTAATCGAGTTCGTCTTCGACGGCTCCACCGTCAAGGCTTTCCTCCTGCCTGACTTTTACAATATAACGCTGATGATCTCGGGTGTACGCTGTCCTGGCTGGCCCAATGGACGTCGTGAGAATTCCGTCGGCGATCCTTACGCGGACGAGGCTAGATACTTCGTGGAGTCGCGGCTCTTACACAGGGACGTCGAAATCGTGCTGGAATCGGTCAACAATAATAACTTCATTGGCAGCATTATTCATCCTAAGGGTAAGTTCGTGGCTTTCGTCAAACGAGTCTACCGAGTCGAGCTTATATGCTTAAATTATGTATAATAAATATTCGAATATTTAAATTTAGTCATATTAAATTTGTGTTTCGTGTTTCATTTGCATTAGGAAACATCGCTGAAATTCTGCTGAGCGAGGGTTTCGCGAAATGCCAGGATTGGTCGATCAGCAACAGTAGATCCGGCGCGGAGAAGCTGTACCTGGCCGAGAAGGCCGCGAAGGAGGCGCGTCTGCGCCTGTGGAAAGACTACAAGCCGTCCGGGCCGCAGATCGAGTTCACCGGCACCGTTGTGGAGATCGTCAATGCGGACGCTCTCATTATCCGGACGCAGAACGGGGAGAACAAGAAAGTATTTCTGAGCAGTATTCGGCCGCCCACCCGTGAGAAAAAGAACACCGAGGACAGCAACAATACCGCTCGACCGAAAGATTTCAGACCACTCTACGATATCCCGTGGATGCTGGAGGCGCGTGAATTTTTACGCGAAAAATTCATCAGAAAGAATGTGAAGGTGGTGGTCGACTATACGCAGCCGGCCAGGGACAATTTCCCGGAGAAGCTGTGCTGCACCGTAACCTGCGGCAAAACGTAAGCGTAAATCGATCTCTTGCCCAAGATTTGTTTGCCTTTTAACGATTTTAAAATTATTATGTAATAAACTGATAATTCTCCTATCTCGTTTTACGATGTCAACAGGAATATCGCGGAGGCATTGGTCGGCCGAGGTCTTGCGCGAGTGATCAAGTACAGGCAGAACGACGATCAGCGTTCCTCACACTACAATCTCCTGCAAGTGGCCGAGAGCAAAGCGGAGAAGTCGCAGCACGGGCTGCACGCGAAGAAGGACATTCCAGTTCACAGAATAGTGGATCTCTCGAACGATCCCTCGAAGGCGAAGGCGTTCCTCACGTCGCTCAAACGGGCGCAGGGAATCCGAGCGGTCGTCGAGTTCGTGACGAGCGGCTCGCGGCTGAAGCTCTACCTACCCAAGGAGGACTACGTTATCACGTTCGTGCTGGCTGGGATAAGAACGCCGCGTTGTCAGAGAACGCTGCCCGGCGGCGGGGTGGTGAAGGCCGACGAATGCGGCGAGAAGGCTCTCGCGTTCACCAAGGAGCACTGCTTCCAACGAGACGTGGAGATCAAGATCGAGAACACGGAAACGAAGCTGAGCGGTTTCATCGGTTGGCTAACGGTGAACGACGTCAACATGTCCGTCGCCCTGGTCGAGGAAGGTCTGGCCGAGGTTGTGAATTTCCCGGACTCCGGGGAGCTCACGAGAACTCTTAAAGCCGCGGAGGAACGTGCAAGAGCAAAAAAGCTTAATGTAAGTAAATGTAATCAAATGAATAATTTAACGGATTACTTCGTTAAAGAAGCTGAATCATATGTGACTTGTACGTTTTGTAGATCTGGAAGAATCGCGTGGAAGCGCCAGTGGAGACCGACAAGATCGTGGACGAGAAGGAGGGGCAGGAGCGGAAGATCGATTACCAAAAGGTTGTCATCTCCGAAGTTACCGACGATCTGCATTTCTACGCCCAGTATGTCGATCAGGGTAGCTTGCTGGAGAGTATGCTTCTGCAATTGCGCCAGGAGTTGGCGGCCAATCCGCCGCTTCCCGGCGCCTACAAGCCGACCAGGGGAGATCTGGCGGTCGCGAAATTCAGCGGCGACGATCAGTGGTATCGCGTGAAGACGGAAAAGGTCTCCGGTACCAATGTCAGTGTGTTCTACATCGATTACGGCAACAGGGAGACCCTCAACGTTACGCGAGTCGCCGATCTGCCGGCGCGTTTTGCGTCCGATAAGCCGTACGCGCACGAATACGCACTTGCATGCGTGACCCTTCCGAGCGACGTAAGTAGCAGATTCTCGAATATACGACTCATGTTTCCCGAGAGGGAAATGTTTATCAACGAAAAGACATCTGTTAATGGTATCTTTGCAGACGGATGACAAGAGAGCGGCAGTGGACGCGTTTAAGGAGGATGTATTGGACAAAATTCTGCTCTTAAATATCGAATACAAGCTGAGCAACAACGTGATTGCCGTTACGCTGATGCATCCGAGCACGAACGAGGATATCGGGAAGGGTCTCATTTCCGACGGATTCCTGCACGTTCAAAAGCACCGAGATAGGAGACTTACGAAATTGGTTAGTTAATCTAACCGTCTACCGCGATAAAATTTCTTCTATTTTATTGGCCTATGCCTATCGGAAATTCGCACATTTTTACCGCCATTACCTTCTTTTATTCGCAATTTCTTTAATTCTTCTTTAATTTTGCAATCAAGCTCTCATAAAATGAAGGCATGCGAGATGAGAATCGAACTCGGGATCTATTGAGTCGATCGACTTGTACGCGAAACCACGCGTCATCCCTACTGCGATAAAATTTATTATGTTTATGTGTATCGCTTGTTTGCAGATCGAGGAATACAAGAAAACCGAAGAGGACGCAAAGCACAACCACCGCAATATTTGGATGTACGGGGACGTGAGGCCGGAAGACGATGACAAGGAGTTCGGGTTGTAATTCATATAAATGCTCAACAATGTGGGATAAGCATTATCAATATGGGGGAAAAGAAAAAAGACAGATCGTGTTTATAAAAAAAGAAAACAATATAATAAGCAGCAGATTATACGATTCTATGTACCGCTACATAGAGGAGAAAAAAAAAGATAACAATGATGAATGTCGATATGAGAGCCACATGTCGCGTTTAGTCTCAATGCAATGATGTATCTCATTGTCAGTATATAAAAAAAAAAGACAATTGTACATAACGATTTTAATAATTTCTGTAATACAGGTGAACAAAGTGCGCATACAGGTAGTCCTCGAAACGAGACTATGCAGCCCATCGGCATTACATGTGTTCTCATCGACATGAGCATTCGTTAACAAATTCGGTGCCACAAATACAAATTGTTTTGAGGACCTGATACTTTTTTCCAAATCCGGTACGGAAAAACAATCTTCAATGTGCAATTCAACAGCGTTTAGATATAACATTCAATCATTGTTAGACACACATCCATTTTTCCTAATGGACGAAAACATTAGTCATGTTTAACTCATGTACCGCGCTACTCTTTTCAAGTTTTTATATGCAAGGATGATCATGTAGCTGTAGAATTTGTAATCGCAGAATCTAATCAGGCACGACGACGGTGGTTATAAACCGAGATAAGGAAGACTCATATCAGTCAGAGTATTTTCAATTGAAACTGACGTCAGGCTCATTTGCATAATACCATTTTTCAATACCTTTTCAAAGTGGCACGCGTACGCGAATTCAGAATACGAATACGGGGGACTTATAGTAATAATGTGAAGGAAGATACTGTAAATTCATTACTGTCTTTCTTGCCGTCTCTTTTCGAAATGAATTTCACGTTATTCATGTACGTTGTATGCATAAACGAGTTTGATATATTAATGTACTTACAAAAAATTATTTATGCACAGTTGTCCTACAAAAAAAAATCAGTCCTACAAATTGCAGTACAACAAAAAATAAAAAATTTAAATGTTCAAAATATATTTACAATAAACGAAATGTTATCTACTGTGTGTTCGGGGGAAGTAACTCGCAATTTTCTGTGGTACAGAGAATGTACGTTATGTAGATTCTATGCACCACAGAACAAGCTCGCTGATGTTTATTTTATCAGAATTACTATACATATATTATATTATTACATTGTAGCGTATCTTTAATTTATATCACCTTTAACCGATACCGGAAATGATTTTCTAATTTTTTTTCTTTTTTAAGACGCTTTGTGATGGCTTTTAATTGTGATATTTTGTTCACACGTTATTACGTTATCCATTGACTTTACTTTGTAAATAAAGTGCCGTTGGATGTTTGATATACCGTACACACCGTAGGATCAGAAAAGGAAAAGAAAGACTTGTTTAAATTATACGTTAAGAGCATTACGATTCTTTTAAAGATCCACAAGATACACAGAAATTTCTCTGCTGTATCGATATACACTTGACTCCTTTACATTACTGTTATATACGTAGCGATAATATACTTTTTAATTCGAATACTTTTTTTCTCTTTTCTGCAATAAAATAGAATATATTGAGTAAACACAGAGAGTATCGTAACTATGTTGTAGAAATGTCTGAAGCAATGATCAAGAGGTTTTAAATAAATGCAAGAGGAATGTTTTTCAATGTGTTAAACGCACTGAGATCCGTCACAATCTTGTATCACCGCTAATTGTGGCAGTGAAGATACGAACTGAACACTGAACGTATGCATTTCTTGTGAATCTTTACCTTAAATTAACACCATCCAATTATCCCTGAGTTGCGATCAGTATTTTCGTCGTTGACACGTAACGAATGAAATTTTTCAATCTCTCGTGGCGAGGAGAATGTTCATTATATAATGAGGTGTTATTTCAATTAATAAATTGAATATTCTATTATGTATAAAGTGAGAAATCATTTTAATATCACAAAATTTTAATATACTAACTTGAGCTGTCCTTAGAAAACTATATATTCAATTTACTACATGCTTAAACACATTTGCGTCCCATGAACACGAGTATACATCGTCTTCGTACCATGCGAGCCCACGCACAAAATCGCTATGACTATTGTCCTCGTATAGTTGCAGCATTTCCCTACAGGCATCGAATACCTTTACCGACGTGCTGTCGAAACAGCACGCTAATTGTTCTTTCCTGGAAATTATAGATCAAGTTGTTATAAAAATTCATCGAGCGAAATATGTTATATAAGAAATATTCTGTATAAACTATTGTACAGTCAAGTAAATTCGTATTTCCGACAAATTCTCACCTCTCTGGATTTGGATTGAATAACAACTTGTGCACGCCTCTCCCATCGCATTCGGCGTACTCGTATAACGGAGTTTCCGTTTGCCTAATGTCAATTAGTACAATGTTGCCGTCGGCTGTACCTATCGCTATGAGATCATTCGAAGTGGTGTTCCACGATACTGCCGTTAAGGGACAATTAGCTCTTCTAAAGATACCTTCGAAAAAAAAGAAGAGAATTACAAAAATATAATACGTATATGAGATGACAAAAAAAAACAACACACAAAGAAACGTACAATTTGCAGGTTTGGCTCGTCTGATGTCCCATAGCAGGGATTCATTATCTAAAGAGGCGGATACAAATATAGAATTGCACATAGGCTTCACGTCTACGCCAGTGATGATGTCTGAATGAGCAAAGCTGTATGAGTAAGTCGAGATTAAGTCCTCTACATCCCAGACTTTTAAGCTGCAACAAGCGTAACATTAATAATCCCTTTGTTTAATCCTCCTTAACTCGTACTGTTAATTTGCACTCGTATATTTTGAAGCCATCTTGCCAAGAGATCATATAATGAATGGACAAACGAGAGAGATGTTATAATGTTACTAAATTGCCTAACCATTGGTTAGTTAATTACTTTTAATTTCATGTAAAATTCATTAATTTAGCACTACTTGCTTGACTCTCTTGCCCGTTCGTTATACAATTTGAAATCCAATTTGCTAAGCGAATCTCTGGGGATACTTATTTCTTACCAGCAATCCATACCGCCCGTGACGATGTTTCTGTGATTGGAAAACATGGACACCGACAGGATGCTGTCCTCGTGCTGGCAGGCGTACGCGACATGCTCAAACTGTTGTTCTGTTTGAGACATCTCGTAGATCTGCACAGCTCCGCTGTCTTCCACGCTGACGAATCTGTGCTTGTTCAGGTAAACGACGTCGCAAACTCCGCTGTCCATTCGCCGGCACGCGACGGCTTTCTCCCGCGAGAAATCCGAGATGTCCTTGTAGTACCAGAGAGTGCCGTTCCAGTAGATGTCGACCATGTTAGTGCCTCCGAGAAGGGCATTGCGCTCTGCAACAGAGAAATCAGTCTGCATCAACTATATAGTATTCAATAATATTTGTCTATATTAATATCATCTATGTTATTTCAGGCTGCGATGAAGGAGTTGAACTCCAGATCACGCTCTTTACCGTCGTAAATTTTGAGAAACTGCAGCTGCTTGGTTTCGACGGGCGATCGATTTTCTATGAATGACATGTTCCTGAAAATATCCCCGTTCAAATTCGGAATGTCCATCGCGTAATTTTATTAAATTAGGATAACGACGGTAAAAATATCAGTTTCGCGACGAAAGAGAAATCCAGGATCTCCCTTTCTCTACCGCGTCGAAGTTTGGAGGTTCTGAAGCATCAGTTCTCTGAGAGCGTCTCGGTAAGGTTAGGTGCGCGCGTGCACAGCTGCGTTCTGCGCGTGCTCGTGGAGTACAGGTGCGAGCGGAGACAATGGGAGAATTAACTTGACAGCGAAAGCGCGGGCGATAAAAGAAAAAACGATGGGCGACCCGAAATAAATAAATTAGAAATTGGATATTAATGAAAAAAAAAAAAAAATTACAAGCGCGCGACGTGTCGGCAAAATCCAAGGAAATCGGACGCGCATTTTCTTCTGTCTCGCTCGATCTGGAGAAAGAAGAGAGAAAAAATATAATATAAAGGAGATGGAGGAAGATAGAGGCAGATAAATAGATAGAAAAATAGGAGGTTTGTTCGTAGGCAGAACTCTCTTCGCACTCTCATTTCCCCTTTCTCTTTATTCCTCCATTGCAATTGCACGTTCGTCTCATTACGAGTGCAGAAGGTACGGTGCAGGTGCAGTAGTGAAGCGGCTGAAAAACGAACGAACGAACGAACGAACCGCGTTACCGGCCGCGGCGCGGCAGCGCGTGACGTAACGCGCGGCCTCCACTACCTCTCGCGCGCGCAGTTTCCCCGTCGCGTCGTCGGGGGCGCATGCGCATCGTTGGCCCAGCCGCGAATCGGAATCAGTCCAACGGAATCTCGGTGAGGATACGGCAGCACGGGAAAGGGACGACGACAACGACGACGACGACGGCGACGGCGACGGCGACGGCACGACGTTGTACACGGCCGACGCGGGGAATCGCGACGAGCTAGAGAGAGCACCAAGCGACTTGTCAATACGCGGGGCCCAACGCGTCGTCGACCATCCGTTGGCGCTTCAGCAGACGTCGGCGGCGGCGGCGGCGGTGAGGAGGAGGCGGAGGAGGAGGCGGCGGCGGAGAAGGAGGCGAAGAAGAAGAGGAGACGGTGGTGGTGGTGGTGGTGGTGTCGGCGGCGACGGAGGAGGAGGTGGTGGAAGACAGCAACAAAGCCGTGACTCGTCCGTCGGGAAGTCCGTCTTGGTCCGCCAGTCAGGATGTCGTCGAGGCCCGCCGAAAAGCCCGAGCAGGTTTTAATTATCGAGCCGCAGAACGAGCTGCGATTCAGGGGTACGCTGAAAAAAAACTTGAGCGATCAAGAGATCATCTTCCACCCGCGCGCGCATACATACATACATACATACATACACGCACACGCATGCACACACACATCGTGTATCTCGTCCCTTTTTTTTTATCAGTTATATTCACCGTTCCTTCCCTGCCGAGCTCCTTGGTGTGTCGCGAGGCGAACGTACGTGCGTTGTGCGCCGCTCGCGACGAACGTTCGCGACGACGAGCCATCGGCACGACGGAGCCTATACGTCGGAGCTACGTCGTCAAGATGACGTAAGGTCCGCGCGACTCGTCGCCGCTCACGTTCGCGCACGTTCATCGTCCTCGCCACACGACACACGACACGGCCACGGCGGACCACGCTATCGCGTAGCCGCGATCCGTACATAGAGCCGTGGCGTGCGTCGTGTGTGTGTGTGTCGTGCCGCACGCGGAGCAAGGGGCTCCGAGGTCGCGGCCGTGCGCTGCCTCGGCGAGCGTGTGCGACGTCGCCAGCCTCGACGTACCTAACCCCATCTGTCCCCGTCGCGAATGTCAATCCGCTGTCATCCACGGCGATTCGCCGTCGCGGCCGCCGCCGCCGCGACGGGGAACGGCCGCGAGGCGGACGTCCTCGTTCGGCCCCGTCCGTTCCAGTTTTCTTGGTGGCTCTCGACCGAGGCTAATTCCCCGAGGATTTTGCCTCGTCATCGAGAGACCGAGGGGGAACCGAAACGGACGGGCAGGTGTCGACGACGACGACGACGACGACAGTCGAACGGCAGGCCGATGGCTCTCGCGCCCTCTCTGGCCGCTTCCGCGTTTCCGGAGCCGCGTTTTTTTTCTTCCCCCTTCGCGAGACGGAAAAGAGAGAGAGATCGGTCGATCCGCGCTTCCCGGTCGCTTTCCGCCGCGAAACGCGTGCGGGTGGCCCCATCGATCGGCCACCGCAGCGGACCTAGTTAGTTTACCGTCAATGCCCACACCGCACCGGCCGATCGCTGATCGCCGATACGAGGAAAACCCATTTATTGAATTTATACCGCTGTTCCACTTAACTCCCCGCGCTCTATACGCGCCTAGTAATCCATAAGAGCCTCGTTTATTTATGCCTCGCCGCCAACAGCCTGGCCGCCCGGCAGTAGATCGCGAATGCCGTTCGAATTTTTTTTTTTTTACGATTCCCTCGATTCTATCGTTCTCTTTATCTATCTATTCTCTCGCTCTCCTTTTAATCGGATATCCGTTCGGAGATTTTCTTCATGAAACTCGGGAGAACGTTGAACCCTGGTCTCTCCCCGCGACCACCTGACCCGCGCGCACGCGGTGCTCCCTTCAAAATTTTCCGCAGAACGAAAATGTCAGATTGATACATTCAGATTTGTCATTCGTATAACACACACACATACACGCGCGCGCACACACACACACGCCCACGCAGTGTGGAGTTTCATTTAGCACCTCGAGCGCGATGTATGTTTACGCGGCTCGTCCGGGCGCTCGCCGCACACGCGCTCCTACCGATCGCCGCAAAAATGAGGCTTATTAATTATGCTCAAATCGAGTGTGATGTAACGTCCTTCGACTATGACCGGTGTAGTGTGTATGCGCGCGAGCGCGCGCGTGTGTGTGTGTGTGTGTATGTCACACGTATTGTACATACGTACATACATACATTGTCGGTGGGAACAAACACTCGAGCGCGCCGATGGCGTATCGCCGTTTCAGCGAAACGCCGCGTTCATTCGCGACCCGTTTTCTCGTTATCGGGATCTGGATGCACTCGAAAGTCGAAAAACAATCCGCGATCTTGCCCCTTTTCCTTGTCATCCCCCCCCCTACCCAAGTTGACCGTTTCATATTCCACATATTTATTCTACAATCTACATATTTTTTTTTCTCCTGTACATGCGACAAATTTGCATTGTGTTTACATCCCGTATGTAACTTGGCGGCGATAGATCAGCGATAACGAAGTGTGGAATTGCAATTAGAGACGTATTTTACAGACGACTTTTATATAGTCGATTACTATGCGATAGCGATTAACGGAATCTATTTCCTCGCTTTGCGTTTATCGTTTTTTTTTTTGCAAACGGAATTTGAACGTTATCTAATGATTCTAGTGGAACGGTGACTAACAGCTGAATGACTAGCAACTAACGACGAATGATTGATCTTGATTAGCGGATCTTCTTTGAAAGAAAAACGTAATTCTAGTAGTTGTTCTTTGATACCGTGACACTTTCTCAGCGTGTAAGAAGGATTTTATTTAATTATGTACTGACTGGGGGAATACTAGTAGATACTCATAAGAAAAAGTATAGTACTGCATCAAATAATTATATTAAATATTCGCCAAGTATCAATATTTATATTCCTTGACACACGAGTTGCGACCTCGCACTTGTATCTGTATTTTTCCAGGATGATCTTTTTTTATACTGTTTATAGTTGATCTTTGCATGATCTCTATCTTATTAATAATTACAAAGCGAAATATAAACATCCATTCGCTGAATCTTCATGCGCAAATAGCTGTTTCATTCGTAAATCATTATCTTGGATCATAAATCATTGATTTTGTCATTTACTTTGTTACAGGTCCTTTTACAGGAGGCCCGGTTACATCATATATAAAATTAATTAATCCAACGAATAAAAAGGTATATTTTAAGATAAAGACAACTGCCCCAAAGAGATACTGTGTACGTCCAAACTCTGGAGCTCTCAAGCCAAAGGATGTCACTGAAATAGCAGGTTGGTCTACAGAATTAGAAATTGAATTATAAATTTTATTTCGTATACTTGTTGAACTTCCACAATTCTCGTATATATGTATCTCCTAGATATTATTATGATATTACTTATATTTGTAAAATTAAAAAAAAAGGGTCAATTCTTTTGTAGTTAAATATCATGAATTTTATTACAGTATGCTTACAACCATATGATTTTGATCCATCGGAGAAAAATAAACATAAATTTATGGTGCAAACTGTGGTAGCACCCGACGACGATGATGATGAGTATCCAATTGATGTGGTAAGAAAGTGTAATACTATATTCAAACTAATATATTAATATATGTCAATAAATAAAGTAGATATGATTTTGAAGTTTGTATGTACATAAGAACTTTCTATTTTAATAATTTTTTTCAGTTTTAAGGTTAATAATGGTTTATTATTATAATAATATATATCGTTTTTTTTTCTTCTAGTGGAAGGATATAAATCCAGATCAATTAATGGATTCGAAATTGAAATGCGTCTTTGAAAATCCTGTAACCAGTACTACTAGTACAGCTAAAACGACCGCGACTTCCACAACAACCAAGGCAGACTCTAATACGACTAACGGAAAGAACAAAACAGTTGGCGATTCGGTCAAATCGTCGCCTAAAGTAAGATATTAAGTGTATTGTTTGTAGATTGACAACCATCATCGTTTATTATAATTGTTCCCCAAACAATATGGTTCTCCTCAGGTTTTTGGTGAAGCAGAAGAGAAACTATTAAAAGCTGCGCAAGAGGTTAATCAGCTTAGGGTAGAGGAAAGCACGCTTAGGCAGGAAAATCTTCAACTTAGGGCAAGTATCAACTGTTACATTTAGATGCAGCTTTTACAAGTTTTATTGATTTGTACAAATCAAATTTGTTGTATTTTGAATTCATATTAACCAAAATTTGCCTTAGATTTTATTAATTTGAGACAAATTGAGTTTATTATTTAATTTTACCCAAAAAATCAAGATTGACGATGCTGCCATTTCTATACATTCTAGGAATGATTTACTAAATCATCGGCATTAAATTTAATTTAAAAGAAACATTACAAATTCGAAAATCGTCATCAGAAATCTGTCAATAACACGCTCGTACGTATATTCGTCTGCAGGAAGATTTAATGAAGTGGCGAAACGCGGCACTTGAACTGGGCAATGATTGTAACCTTGCACCACCCAGAGGACTAACCTCGCCGAGCAGTAGCCAGTTATCTCCGACATCAACTAGTATCCTCATCGCCGTCGCCATGGTTATAGTCGGTTACTTGCTGGGAAAACTAATCTGAACAGCCTTTATCTTACTGTATACCTCAGTGTATCCCCACCGCCCCCAAGTTTTTTTAGCCTGTCTTCTGCCGTCATATGCCATCGTTCGATCGCAGACACAGACTCTAAACGTTGCGTTATTCGAATGTTCATAATAAATGCTGTAAACACGAACGTGGTAGTGGTCTACATTAATAGAATTGCTCGTTACGAGTGTGTGCTTAAGTCCTGATAAAAAAAGTTGCTTGGTTTAAAAATTTATTTTATTTTATTTTATTTTTTTTGTCTTCTTTTTAAGAACGCAAACTTGATTCGGAAGACGCTAAGTAACACTCGGTTTACACTTGTCATAGTTACATTCTCAATTTTGTTGTGCTTGTAAAGGAATTTTCGCTCTGTAAGTTGCGCCCTGTCCTGAAGTAGCGTTGGGCAAAGAAATGTGTATCGCGCGAATAACGAGTAAAAATTTCGTATTTATAAATACATATTCAAGGTAATAATTATTCGTCATTCGCATTGCTCAATGCCTTTGAAGTTTTAATTCGCTATCATAAGTTACCAAGTTACTAATTGTTATCGCACTCTTTCTCAAATTTGTACACCATTTATTCGCAATATAGGCCGAACCGTACTGGTGCAAAAAGATCACACACAAACGAGTAAGGGTGCTATTACTGTCATATAGCATCTTTCTCTAACGTAAAATATAACTTACATCACATAAATAATATTGTACAATCGGAGGCAGAAATAGTGTCCAGTTGCTGGTGTACTGCAATGAGAACGGCTGTTGCCCATGTTCGCTCGATTTTGCGCTACTTCGGCGCATCCGCGCCGGGCGCCGTTCTTGTTCCCCGTTGTACATATTGTGTCCATTTGAAAAATATATATATATATATATATTTATAAAACACATAGTCGGGGCCGGAGGGGAGGAGGGGGATAGAGGCGGAATTGGCTGAGTAGTGGTACATGATCCAACAATTGGTTGTGCTGGTAGCTGTATCCCGCCAGCAGCGTTGGTATATTAAATAAGAAAGATGAAAAGAAAGAGAGAGAGAGAGAGAGAAAGAAAGAAAGAGAACGTTATAAAATGCATTGAACTTACTTGACGCTTCAGTGTACTTTTTATTTCTTTATGTTTGTCTTACGAAAATAACGAATAAAGATATGTCTCGGATATCACAAACGCCGAAGGGTTTTGAATTATGCACCTCTCTGCTCGAAAAACTGTCGTCCGGATTAAGCGTTGACACGCGATAGTTACAACATATATATGGACATAATATTTATTTGTCGAGGAGTCCGAAGCGGAACGACAGTCGCTCGGTCGAGTTTCGAACGAGGCTCGAACGGGCCGACCGCAGGTTGTCACACATTAAAAGTACTGTATTGTTGAAGCACGTAATACTTATCTCACACAGGTATAGAGATATTTATATAACTGTGCCTTAGTACTAGAGGCAATATAGCGTTAATTAAACACGATTTTCAACCTTAACTGGCTTCCTCCGTCGCTCCGAATTTTTATTTTTACACCGCCAAATCGGCAAGTCCTTTTTTTTTTCTTTTTAGCGAGCTACGAATACCCGTGTGTCTCGCGGCTCTGTAATATACGAATATAGAAGAATGTAAAGAGTATATGTTCCGTTATTGAATTAGACTCTGTATAAAATGCGTTCTTCGTCGCGCGCGACGACGCGTGTACTTAATTGTCGGTGTGAAACTTCCATCGCTGTACGAGTTTCTGATTCGAAGGCGGGGATTTATTCGGACTTCTCTTCAATACTCAGCGCTATTTTTCCGAGACATTCCTGTAAAACGTTCGATTTTCGGCGCGTGAGAAGGATTCAGCGGCTCCTACAGCGAGAGAAAAAATGATCGTAGATCTTGAATCATGTGTAAAGTCGAGCTCTATCTCTCCTTACATATATATGTATATATATATATATATATATATATATATATATGTATGTATGTATTTTACATGTATATCCCGTGTATTATGGAGTTCGTTAATTCGAACCTGATCTATGTCGCGTCTTTGTAAAACAAAATATATGTGTATATGCATGTACATGTATACATATATATGTATATATGTATATATGTATATATATGTATGTTATGTATATGTATGTATATTCGTGCCTAAGAGATGGCAAATGCACGTTTCTCATCTCGTGCGTTTTAACTGCACCAGAGGTACTCTCCATATTCCGTAGAAGAAAAAAAAAGAAAGCGATACAATTAGTATGCACGATGCATAAAAACATACCTTAGATACTACTACGTTAGTGAGATTTTATTACAGATATACCAAGAATTTGTTGTATATGATCTATATACGATTGTTATACGTATAATTATATATATATCATTACCGAAGTTTTTGCGGTTTTGCTTCATGCGTGACGCATGCCGTCACGTGCGATTAATCTATTAACAGCGATTTCGTTAACACTCGTGTTTGAATAAAAGTATTCTATTAAAGAATGTACTATGCAGACTTCTGATGTTTCGATACCACAGCGAATAATTGATGTGCGTTCTCATAATCCCGATTACGCGTCGGGACCGACGACTCTCAAAGGCCGATCTAAATTCATGAATTATCAATATTTAATTAAATATCAATTAAATATTAATTTAATATTAAGTTAATATTTTAGTTTACATATCTTTTATTTATCAAGGATTTAATATAGAAATTAAATATAGAAAACTTAAATATAGAAAGCTTTGCAGTCCAGTATCGTGTTTCACGATAAGTTCTTTCAAGAGCAAGAATGAGAGCGCATGTATGACGCACATTTGCGGCGGAGGACGCGCGCCTGTTTCGATAACATATTTCGCAGAGTTATGATACATTCGCGAATAGAAAAACTGAAAGTCATCTTTACAATTATTTCATATAGGTATAACTTCCTGATTCACCGACCGTCTGTACGTAATACTTTAAATCCGAAATACTCGATTAAAATATATTAATATCAAATTAGAAATATTGATTCCTGCATATCAAGTTTTCTAATTGGATGTTAAATGGATGTTAAAATTTTAAGAGTAACAGTTTCAACTAATTTTTTTTCGTGCGGGATTGAACGAGGTGGAACGAATGGAGAAAAGACATTTTATAATAAGAGATTAAAAAACGCCCGGAAAGATTGTGACGAGGAGAACTCGAGCCAAGCATCCTCGTGACGCGAGACAGGGGGCTTCCGAAAGGGGTAGCAGCATCCCTGGAAAAGGGAGCGCGTAGGTAGATCCAAAGTGGAGTAGGTCAACTCATAACCAGACCGCAATCTACGTACGTCTCCCTACGCGTCTATATTTTCGGTCACATCGGAAGGTCGCGGTTCAACCATTGCGGTAAGAACGTCAAAGTGTAAGTCCTCTGAATGTCGGAGGGTGGGGGGGGGAGGAGAAGGAGGAGGAGGGTGAGAGTCCGACTTTTTCATACCCGTTTCCCGTTCGGTATTTACGTCATCGGTTCGAGCGAAAGATCGAATCTCTCGCTTTACGTGAAAAGCTTCATTCCCGGAGCCGCGTCGTTGTATCGTTTTAGGTCCCCGAGTAGCTATCGCTCGCTCGTTCCATCAAAGATTTTTGGCAGTAGCGTGCCCCGGGACATACGCCACGTTACTATATATAAATGTATAGGCGGGCACACGGAGGGAAATGAAAAAAGCGAGGCTTAGATAAGGATCGCCGTGACAACTCGTGATTTAGTACCGAAGACGTGGAGCTTTGGCCTTTACCGGGTTACAAGCGGGGGAGATTAGTGGCTTTTTGCAGCGGAGCGTTTCTTGAATATGGTAAACGTTAACGTCGAATCTGCGTTGAGTCTCGTGTAAAACGGGAGCCACCTTCAGCCAGGCGTTCACCGATTTTTATAGCAGCATCATGGGGAAACTGTCTCAATTTCGGTCGTAGCGAGATTTTCGCGATTATCTAACGCGGTGATCCTATATACGTAAAGGACTCTCGTGGCTAGCCGTTTTCCGCGGATGTGTACTCGGAGCATTCACCGTACGAATCGAAGGTCACACGGTGGTCTCCTTTGCCAATGCCCCGAAGACTGACCGGTTAATGTTCAACGGCGGTGCGAATTAGACGCGTTTCCACGACACCCCTGGTGGTACGTAGTTTCCCTACCCCCTTCCGGGATCGGGTCACTCGGTGACCGATGACGCTCGGTACCGAGAGACGTTCGGCTGCGAACTAAAGTCGGGCACGACGCGACTTCCTCGGTCACGCCGTGAGGATAAATCGGGATACGGGAAGAGGGAGGAGGAGGAGGAGATGGCAGTGACGGCGGCGGCGGTGGCGGCGGTAATGGTGGCGGCGACGGTGACGGTGGTAGTGGTGGTGGCGGTGGCGGTGGCGGCGGCGGCGGCGGATGCAGCGCAGAGCAGCCTGATCAGGGTGGCGGCGGCAGTAGCGGCTGGCTATTGATTTCAAGGGCTTCCTTAGCCCCCCGCCTTGCCGCTGAGTGCCCGACGGCTCCAGGTCGCCCCGAAGGGCTCGCGGTGCCCGCGACTAAAAGCGCTCTCGCCGTTCCGCGCGCGGAACAATTCGGGGAAAATGTTTCTGAACGCTTAGGGAAATCATCGCCCGAGCTAACGCGCGAACGTGCGAAGGTTCGCGTGACGGTCCGCGAACCGCGAGGACGCTTGCTTTAGTTCGCGCGGTTCGGCGCGAAATCAATAATCTTCACTCTATTTGGGATTTCGCGACGGGGGAAGAGGAAGAGAGAGAGGGAGGCAGAAACAGAGGGATCGATTGTCAAAAAGACAGTGAGATTTCGAATATTGAAGGAATGTTTCTTCGGGATTGTCGAATAGGACGATATCGCGCGGGTGCGGCACGCTCGAGGAAGGGTTAAGAGATAAGGTCGCGCGAGAAGGAAGGGGTTGGCGCCCGACCACCCCCGTGCGGGCACCGCGGCGGGTTGGTCCCGCTCGTGTTACGGCACTGCGCGAGTCGGGCCGAGCACAGACGCGGATCGCGGGGTGAGCCGTCGCTCGCCATACGTCGAACTGGGTGCCCCGCGTTGGGGCGTCTCCTGGCATCAGCGGGCATCGGTGTCGTGCAGTCGATCGGGGGAGACGAGCACCGTCTTCTCGAGTCCTCGTGCGTGTAATCGCCGCGAGACAGAGAGGGAGAGAGAGAGAGGAGAGAGAGAGAGAGAAAGAGAAAGGGGGAGAGAGAGAGTGTGTGTGAAGGAAGAGAGCGAGGGAGAGAAAGAGAGAAAGAGGGAGACAGGAAGAGAGCGACGAAAGAGTGCGTGCGTCCTGTGCGTTCGACCTTTTTTCCCTTTTTTTTTCCTTTCGCGCCCACCCCCGTCGCACGCACACACGGTGCGATCGAGCGCCAGAGCCAAGCAGTATCCAGCAGCAACACGCGAAAAACGGGGCGCACGCCGAGGGGCGCGACAACGATGACACTGCGACGATGTTACTCGGTGTGGTAGCGCGACCACGGTGGTGTCATA